ACCAATAAGCCTTCTGAATCCACCAGACTTGAAAATAAACTAGAATACTACCAGCCACCGGGACAAGCGTGTTTCCTAAGCTATTTATCACAGTTCTGGAATATGCATTCAAAAAGCTGGACTAGGAGAATAAAGGCATAACCGCATTGACGAAAACTAACAATTTTATATTTTGCGAATGACATTGTGTGATAATCTCGGTGATATTAAACTGATGCTGCGTGAGCTAAAGGAAGTATGTGCATCGGTTGGTCTGGAAATCAATATCTCTAAAACAAAATTTATGGCCAATCTGGTTCCTAGCGAAAACATTGTGATGGAAGGAAAGGAAATTGAACTACTAGTGGATATGTATACCTATCTTGGTCATGAAATTAAAATCACGACAGACAACCAGACCTACGAACTAAGGAGGAGAATAATCCTCTCATGGGCAGCATATTGTAAACTTAGAGATGTATTTAAGAGCAACCTATCAATATGTCTAAAAAGAACTTTGACCATAACATCTGCCAATAAGCTTAGAACAAAACAACGTAATATGGAAATAAACAGACGTCACAGACATCATTTCTCGCATCGCCAGACTCAAATGGAACTGGACTGGACATGTAGCCCGAAAGACAGATGAGAAATGGACGAAAAGGCTGTTGGGATGGAGATCTCGAGCTGACAAATNAAAAAATCGACTTTACAGATATAGTTGATGAAATTTACTCTACTTAGCAACAAAAGTGTGCTCTTTCCCATAAACAATCCCATTTTAACATATTGCTGTTAGATTTTGAGATAGAGAAGTTTGAACTCGACCGAAATTTCTTCTCTCTGAAATGATTATGAAGGTTTAAAAATCCTATTTAACCTCTGCCTGTTTAACAACACTATACCGAGTAAATGGCTAATATATATATATACCAATAAGCCTTCTGAATACATCAGACTTGAAAATAAACTAGAATACTACCAGCCACCGGAACAAGTGTGTTTTCTAAGCTATTTATCACAGTTCTGGAATATGCATTCAAAAAGCTGGACTGGAAGATAATCTCGATGACATTAAACTGATGCTGCGTGAGCTAAAGGAAGTATGTGCATCGGTTGGTGTGGAAATCAATATCTCTAAAACAAAATTTAGGGCCAATCTGGTTCCTAGCGAAAACATTGTGATGGAAGGAAAGGAAATTGAACTAGTGGATATGTATACCTATCTTGGTCATGAAATTAAAATCACAAGAGACAACCAGACCTGCGAACTAAGGAGGAGAATAATCCTCTCATAGGCAGCATATGGTAAACTCAGAGATGTATTTAAGAGCAACCTATCAATATTTCTAAAAAGAACTTTGACCATAATATCTACCAACAAGCTTAGAACAAAACAACATAATATGGAAATAAACAGACGTCACAGACATCATTTCTCGCATCGCCAGACTCAAATGGAACTGGACTGGACATGTAGCCTGAAGGACAGATGAGAAATGGACGAAAAGGCTGTTGGGATGGAGATCTCGAGCTGACAAATACAGTAGAGGGAGGTCACTAACTCGATTTGCGGATGACATCAAGAGATTTTTTAATAACTGGATTAAAGCAGCACAAGACATGAAAAAATGGGCGGAAATAGGGAAGGCCTATCCCTATGTCCAGCAGAACACTGAAGGTGGAATGTACATAAAGTAAGTGGCCGATCAGATGATGGAAAAATTTCTGAGATTTCTCTTAATAAGCATTATTTTGAAAATATTCCAAAGTTGATGTAAAAGAGGCTAAACTGTACGAAACTAATTAATTTAGTTCCAATTTAGGTTCCATCCTAAATCCGTTTGTATTCACTTTGCCTATTAATTATAGAGTTCAAATGTTGTTTTGATACATCAAATAATAAATAAAAAGTTTTATGTTTCGAGATGTTTTTAAAAATAATTCTTATGTATTAGAATTAATGTAAAATGTATTTTTCGAGAGTGTTACCTGTTAAATAGCTGAGGTACAATAAAATTTCGTCTTCTCCCATAAAAGACTCTTCGCCATCGTTACTTCTACTAAAACCACCTCTCCAATGTCCAGCTCCTAACGACCCAGCAGCAAAAATCAAAGCTTTTAATAACACCAAAACTAAAAGGTTGGTCAAATTTAAAGAAACCACTTGACTTCCACCGTTACTTGTAAAACCGCGTGACATTAAATTTGTGGCTATTGATGTTAAAACTCCAGTTGTATCAATATTTCTAAGAAAGAAATCTATTTATTACTTATGTATTAAACACATTTTTTAAATACCTCGATTCGTGATTAGTTTCATCTATTCCATTGGTGATCGCACCACGTGATCCATAAGATAAAAAACAAATCACCAAAGCAATAATTAATTTTTTAGATGCCATGACGAAAAAAAAAACTTTGTATTCACTACAAAAGCGTCTTGTTAAATAAGGAAGAATGTTGATGCTTGGGCTTTTATATATACTTTTACTAAGTTGAGCAATCTGATAGAAAATTTGATGAAAAACAATAGCGATTGTAAAAAGGAAAGAGGCAGAAAAAATGTTGTTCGTGCACTCAACTTATTATTTATGGAAACTTTATTTCGAAAATTGTCTATTGTTTCCACGGTTCAAAAATTTTTTTGGTTATGTTAAGAAGTGGTTTGATGATCATCGGTGATCAACGAAGCGTTTTAAATTGATAAGTTTGGATAATAAAGAAATTTATTTCATCAGATAATAACTTAATAATAATAAATAATAAAAGATAAGTAATTTTATATCAAATAATTTATTAAAATCAATCCATCAACAAAAAAATTTATTTATTACATAAAACGATTTTATTTTACAGCATAATTATTCTTTTTAGTAAAGCCTTAAAAACATTTTTCATTTTAATAAATTAATTCTAAACAAAAACGATTATTTATTTTATTTATAATCTATTACTAATTTTTTTTATTAAATTTATTCAGTAACTTTCATGGTATGTACAATAAAAAAACTTAACTCTACGAAAAAATAAATATTTTTTTTATTTCCTTATTTAAAATGGTATTTAGCTTCTTCTCTTCCATCTAAAAAAATCTAGATCCTCTGGTAATCTTCTTATCATCATTTATCTTCTAGTTACCTAGTTTTTTCTTCTCTCCGCTTTCTTCAAGGAAAATTCTTTTTCTTTTGGCACACAAACCTCGAACAGTCTTTGGCTTTTATGGCATCCATTACATCTTGAAGATGTTCAGAAACGGCTCTCGTTATATCAGGATGTGCCCTAAAAAATTCCTCAAATCAAAAAAAATCTAGAACAAGGATAACAGAAAAATGAAATAGAAAAAAAAAGAAATGAATAAATTATAAAAATTTCGAAAAGAACTTTCTTTATGGCATTCCACGCGTTCGACAAGTTTTTTCATCATCTTGAATACTGATGAATGCGTGTCGTTATCGTAAAACAGTGGTTCTCAACATTTTTGAGAAATTTCAACAATTAACAATTTCTTTGAAAAAAATCATAAAAAATCGATTTTTGCAGATATCGTTTTGAAATTGTCAACAATTATGAAGAATGATTTGAGCTTTTTGATGGTGAAAACCGTTTATGAAATATCGTTTTAGTTCTTGAGATTTTAAACTTCAAACAATATGTTTCCCATTTTGCAAGATAACATTTTCTTTTTAACCTGTAAAAAATCGATTCAATGGAATCTGTTTATAAGATGGTCACTAATTATTAATAAATGTTTGTTCTTTCCAATAAATTATTCCATTTTAAAAAATTGTTGTTAGTTTTTGAGATAGAGAGGTTTAAATTCGACCGAAATTTCTTCTCTCTGAAATGATTACTAAAGTTTAAAAATCCGTAAAAAATCGATTTCGCAGATATAGTTGATGAAATTTAGTCTACTTAACAATAAAAGTGTGTTCTTTACAATAAACAATCGCATTTTAAAAAATTGCAGTTAGATTTTGAGATAGAGAGCTTTAAACTCGACCGAAACTTTTCTTCTCTCTGAAATTATTATGAAAGTTTAAAAATCCGTAAAAAATCGATTTCGCAAATATAGTTGATGAAATTTACTCTACTTAACAATAAAAGTGTGTTCTTTCCAATCAACAAACCCATTTTAACATATTGCAGTTAGATTTTGAGATAGAGAGGTTTAAACTCAACNATGGTCACTAATTATTAATAAATGTTTGTTCTTTCCAATAAATTTTTCCATTTTAAAAAATTGTTGTTAGTTTTTGAGATAGAGAGGTTTAAATTCGACAGAAACTTTACTTCTCTCTGAAATGGTTATGAAAGTTTAAAAAACCATAAAAAATCGATCTTACAGATATAGTTGATGAAATTTACTCTACTTAGCAATAAAAGTGTGCTCTTTCCCATAAACAATCCCATTTTAAAAAATTGTTGTTAGTTTTTGAGATGGAGAGGTTTAAAGTCGACCGAAATTTCTTCTTTCTGAAATGATTATGAAAGTTTAAAAATCCGTAAAAAATCGATTTCGAAGATATAGTTGATGAAATTTAATCTTCTAAGCAATAAAAGTGTGTTCTTTACAATAAACAATCGCATTTTAAAAAATTGCAGTTAAATTTTGAGATAGAGAGGTTTAAACTTGACCGAAACTTTTTTTCTCTTTGAAATGGTTATGAAACTTTAAAAATCCGTAAAAAAAATCGATTTCGCAGATATAGTTGATGAAATTTACTCTACATAACAATAAAAGTGTGTTCTTTCCAATAAACAATCCCATTTTAAAAAATTGTTGTTAATTTTTGAGATAGAGAGGTTTAAACTCGACCGAAACTTCTCTCTGAAATGATTATGAAATTTTAAAAATCCGTAAAAAAATCGACTTCGCAGATATAGTTGATAAAATTTACACTGATTAGCAATAAAAGTGTGCTCTTTCCTATAAACAATCCCATTTTAAAAAATTGCTGTTAGATTTTGAGATAGAGAGGTTTAAACTCGACCGAAACTTCTCTCTGAAATGATTATGAAAGTTTAAAAATCTGTAAAAAATCGACTTCGCAAATATAGTTGATGAAATTTGCACTATTTAACAATAAAAGTGTGTTCTTTCCAATAAACAATCCCATTTTATCATATTGCTGTTAGATTTTGAGATAGAGAGGTTTAAACTTGACTGAAACTTTTCTTCTCTCTGAAATGGTTATAAAACTTTAAAAAACCATAAAAAATTGACTTTACAGATATAGTTGATGAAATTTACGCTACTTAGCAATAAAAGTGTGTTCTTTCCAATAAACAATCCCATTTTAAAAAATTTCTGTTAGATTTTGAGATAGAGAGGTTTAAACTCGACCGAAATTTCTTCTCTCTGAAATGATTATGAAAGTTTAAAAATTCGTAAAAAATCGATTTCGCAGATATAATTGATGAAATTTACTCTACTTAACAATAAAAGTGTGTTCTTTCCAATAAACAATCTCATTTTAACATATCGCTGTTAGATTTTGAGATAGAGAGGTTTAAACTCAACCGAAACTTTTCTTCTTTCTGACATGTTATGAAATTTTAAAAATCCGTAAAAAAATCGACTCCGCAGATATAGTTGATAAAATTTACACTATTTAGCAATAAAAGTGTGTTCTTTCCAATAAACAATTCCATTTTAAAAAATTGTTATTAGTTTTTGAGATAGAGAAGTTTAAACTCGACCGAAATTTCTTCTCTCTGAAATGATTATGAAAGTTTAAAAATCCGTAAAAAATCGATTTCGCAAATATAGTTGATGAAATTTACTCTACTTAACAATAAAAGTGTGTTCTTTCCAATCAACAATCCCATTTTAACATATTGCAGTTAGATTTTGAGATAGAGAGGTTTAAAATCAACCGAAATTATTCTTCTCTCTGAAATGGTTATGAAACTTAAAATGCGTAAAAAAAATCGACTTCGCAGAAATAATTGATAAAATTTGCACTATTTAGCAATAAAAGTGTGTTCTTTCCAATAAACAATCCCATTTTAAAAAATTGTTGTTAGTTTTTGATATAGAGAGGTTTAAACTCGACCGAAATTTCTTCTCTCTGACATGATTATGAAAGTTTAAAAATCCGTAAAAAATTGATTTCGTAGATATAGTTGATGAAATTTACTCTACTAAGCAATAAAAGTGTGTTCTTTACAATAAACAATCGCATTTTAAAAAATTTCAGTTAGATTTTGAGATAGAGGTTTAAACTTGACCGGAACTTTTCTTCTCTCTGAAATGATTATGGAACTTTAAAAAACCATAAAAAATCGACATTACAGATATAGTTGATGAAATTTACTCTACTAAACAATAAAAGTGTATTCTTTACAATAAACAATCGCATTTTAAAAAATTGCAGTTAAATTTTGAGATAGAGAGGTTTAAACTTGACCGAAACTTTTCTTCTTTCTGACATGGTTATGAAATTTTAAAAATCCGTAAAAAAATCGACTCCGCAGATATAGTTGATAAAATTTACACTATTTAGCAATAAAAGTGTGTTCTTTCCAATAAACAATTCCATTTTAAAAAATTGTTATTAGTTTTTGAGATAGAAAGGTTTAAACTCGACCGAAACTTCTCTCTGAAATAATTATGAAACTTTAAAAATCTGTAAAAAATCGACTTCGCAAATATAGTTGATGAAATTTGCACTATTTAACAATAAAAGTGTGTTCTTTCCAATAAACAATCCCATTTTATCATATTTGCTGTTAGATTTTGAGATAGAGAGGTTTAAACTTGACGGAAACTTTTCTTCTCTCTGAAATGGTTATAAAACTTTAAAAAACCATAAAAATTGACTTTACAGATATAGTTGATGAAATTTACGCTACTTAGCAATAAAAGTGTGTTCTTTCCAATAAACAATCCCATTTAAAAAAAATTCTGTTAGATTTTGAGATAGAGAGGTATAAACTCGACCGAAATTTCTTCTCTCTGAAATGATTATGAAAGTTTAAAAATTGGTAAAAAATCGATTTCGCAGATATAGTTGATGAAATTTAGTCTACATAACAATAAAAGTGTGTTCTTTCCAATAAACAATCTCATTTTAACATATCGCTGTTAGATTTTGAGATAGAAAGGTTTAAACTCAACCGAAACTTTTCTTCTTTCTGACATGTTATGAAATTTTAAAAATCCGTAAAAAAATCGACTTCGCAGATATAGTTGATAAAATTTACACTGATTAGCAATAAAAGTGTGTTCTTTCCAATAAACAATCCCATTTCAAAAAATTGCTGTTAGTTTTTGAGATAGAGAGGTTTAAACTCGACCGAAACTTTACTTCTCTCTGAAATGATTATAAAACTTTAAAAATCTGTAAAAAATCGACTTTTCGGATATAGTTGATGAAATTTACACTACTTAACAATAAAAGTGTGTTCTTTCCAATAAACAATCCCGTTTTAAAAAATTGTTGTTAGTTTTTGAGATAGAGAGGTTTAAACTTGACCGAAACTTCTCTCTGAAATGATTATGAAATTTTAAAAATCTGTAAAAAATCGAGTTCGCAGATATAATTGATGAAATTTACACTACATAACAATAAAAGTGTGTTCTTTCCAATAAACAATCCCATTTTAACATATTGCTGTTACATTTTGAGATAGAGAGGTTTAAACTCAACCGAAACATTTCTTCTCTATGAAATGCTTATGAAACTTTAAAAATCCGTAAAAACATAGATTTTACAGATATAGTTGATGAAATTTACTCTACTTAGCAATCAAAGTGTGCTCTTTCCCATAAACAATCCCATTTCAAAAAATTGTTGTTAGTTTTTGAGATAGAGAGGTTTAAACTCGACGGAAACTTCTCTCTGAAATGATTATGAAACTTTAAAAATCTGTAAAAAATCGACTTCGCAAATATAGTTGATGAAATTTGCACTATTTAACAATAAAAGTGTGTTCTTTCCAATAAACAATCCCATTTTATCATATTGCTGTTAGATTTTGAGATAGAGAGGTTTAAACTCGACCGAAACTTTTCTTTTCTCTGAAATGGTTATGAAACTTTAAAAAACCATAAAAAATCGACTCTACAGATATAGTTGATGAAATTTACTCTACATAGCAATAAAAGTGTGCTCTTTCCCATAAACAATCCCATTTCAAAAAATTGCTGTTAGTTTTTGAGATAGAGAGGTTTAAACTCGACCGAAACTTCTCTCTGAAATGATTATGAAACTTTAAAAATCTGTAAAAAATCGACTTCGCAAATATAGCTGATGAAATTTGCACTATTTAACAAT